CAGTATTATGACTTAGTCCTGCTTGAAAAAATTGCTGAAAGTCTTTGTGGTTGAAAGAATTGTTTTAAAGTGAAAGACAGGGATCTACTTTAGCAAAATATTGGGGATTCTTTGTCAAACAAAGCAAATGAGCTCCTGCAAATGGATTTAGTAAATAATAAGGAAAAAAAAAAAACAAAACGGAAAAAACATTAAAAGCAAAAGGAAAAGAAATTAAAAACAAAACGAAAAGGAAAAGAAATTTCTGACTGATATTTCAAGTACTTTATCCTAAAGTAAATTATTCAATTATTGGACTTCCTTGGGCTTTTCTAGCCTTGTAGGAAGCAGAAGTAAAAAATAAAGCTGGACCAGAAAAATTGCTGCATTGACTCTGCAGAGCAGATGGCTGAAAATATACTTGTGTTTAAATCACTAGACTTGACAGGATGCAATCTACAATATTGCATTAGTGCAACTTGAAATATTATTATTGCATTTATTTTCAACTTCTTTCAGCATTTCATTTTATTTAAATAAATGTCATATCATTCAGACTAGTCATTTGAGGTTGCTTTAGATCAATGGCACTATGAACACTATATGACGTTGTCAATATATGCTTAAAAAATTACCTTTATATCAGGAAGGTTCATCTCTAATTCTGTACTAAAAATAATGCAGGCAGCAAAATAAAATGTATACATTCACTGGCTGTATGTGAAACAAATTACAAATGTGGATGATCTTTAATTACACCACTGTATTATCGCAGTGAGAAATCAAACCAGGACAAATAAATACTAAAACCTGGATTATATATTTTTTGAAGAAACTTTCATCCCTACAGTGAATATAAATATAGAATAGACCCAAAGATGATCTCTTCATGGACATAATGGCATATTGTAGATGTAAAAGACAATTATGGCAGCTTGATACTGCTATTAACCAATCCCTACTATTGTAACCATTCTGACTAGTTATTATACATTTAAGTTGCAGAACATTTTTTGATCCCTCACAGAAACTGCTGTCTATTTATGGGAGAACTTTCTAAAGTAATTTTTTTTCTTACTTGGCTATGAAAAACATTGATGAAAAAGAGAAAAGCAGCAAGAATTCTAGTGTCCTAGATTCTCTTCCTCTTGTAAATTAATGGAGTGTACTTAATACATTTGGACTTATAGATGTTATTGTACCTGAGAGCTGAGCAAGATATAGATTTTAAGCCAAATAAATCTTCCTTTATTCTATTTCATGGCCTTAAAACTGATCTGCCTGTACTATTACCTCAAGGTATTATGAAATGGAAATATTGTTATCTGATTTACATCCTTTCAGCTTTTAGAGATACTACATGTAAAGTCATTGTATTGTCTCCAGAGTCAAATCATTTTTTGAAGTGCACATTTTCACAGGGTTGGAAAAAGCAAATAAATGGATAGATGTGTATATCTCTGAAAATGTAAGTATATGAGAAAAAGTACTAAATTTGTAGTGTATAGTTTGAGCCCTCTATTCATTTCCACAAAAATAGTAAGCAGTATATTTCTTTAAAAGGAAACTTTAATGTTCAAGTTATGTTTAAACTGTATTAGCACAATAAGCATCTTTTAAGGGGAAAAGGTGATTATTTCTTCAAACATCTGCTTTTAAAATTACTTATTATTCAATTCTGTAGTCTTATTTATTCCTTTTAATTTACAACGGTATGACTTAGCAGAAGAAGGAAGATTTAAATGATGTTTGAAAATTTAAGCTTGGAAGAGAGAGGAAAATATGGATTATTACTACCTTTGTTCTTATTAGAAATAATTAATCTAATTTGTAAGCAATATATTTCTTCCAAGAGGTCTTGGTATTCACTGAAGACCAGTGAAAGCAGGTTTGTCCTTATATTTTGCATAATACAGATACACAAGTGAATGTTCTGCTGAGCCATCATAACAGAATATAGGTATGACATTATTATAGCCTCTGTATAAAAAATCATAAACAGCTCTCAAATACGTGAGCCAGTCTCTGCTCACATAGCTGAAATGACTTTTACCATCTTTCCCTTGACATATGATGAAGAATGTGAAAACCTGCTTTTTTTTTTCTTGTTGTCTTCTAAACTATTTGTGTCCTGCTACACAGTCCTTCGTGAAATTCTTCTTCAGCAGCACTGGTACAGTTGCTGTCATTCTTTTTCACAGTCTGGTCATTTGCCTCAAACAGAAGATATAAAACAAAAATACAGCCAGGAGACTGTTAGTGTATTATGATAATGGTCTTAAATTCGGTTTAGGAAGTATATAGTCCTTTGGGGTAGATAGTTTGTAGGTGCTAAGGGAGAGATCAGAGTAAATATTCTTGTGGGCTTCCTGACTTAACATCTGTTACATGGTTACTTTAGGCTTTGGGAAAGTAGACTCAGAGATCCATCAGTCCTTTAGTTCATTAACATGCATTAATGTATAGCATGATTTTGGCAGTGTTACAGTACTTGAACAGCTTAATCTTCCTTCTGCTAAAAATTAAAAAAAAAAGCAAGGAATATAGATAGATGCATGCTAGAATGTGAGTATTGCTTACATAATTGTAGAAGCTGTTAGATGAGAAATGAAATTTGTGCAAAGCTATAAAACATATGATGGCAGGCAAACAGCTGGAATTTATTTAGATTCATATACATTAAGGTATGAATATACATCATTTTATGAGACTCCAAAACCAAGTATACACACAGATGTCACAAGAAAATATTTAACCTACTCATCAGATGGAATGTTTCCTAGATAATTTAGGGAAAAAGCTTGAACTAACTTGGTGGCTTATAGAATAATTAATATTTCCCACACGTATAAATTTTAAATCATAATACTGGAATATACTAAAAAAAACCCCCAAAATTAAATGTTGCTATAGTGGTGAATACACATCATTAACTAAGGAAAACATCTCAAAGAAAATACTATATTTAAAGAAATTTTAAATTCCTAATACATTCCAGATTGAGGTCATTTGAAAGTACAGAGCTCAGACCCATCAGACAGTTTTGTCTTTCCTCTGGTGTCTTCATCCACTGCCTACCTAAATTAATACATCTATATTTCACCTTAGTTAACAGGTCTTATAGGTGAGGCTAACATTACATTCTTTGATCTGAAAAGCTATATTTTATTGTCCTGGCTTAACTGCCACAGTTAAGATCTGTAGAGATGCAGTTTTCTTGTTCCTGATAAGGAACTATCTGCAGAATTATTTCCCTCAAAGGAGAGGAAAGCTTGCCATTTCTGAACAACCCCCAAAAAATGCAACCAAACACTTAAAACAACCCCCTTCCCCAAACCCCTAAACGAACAAAAATCTTCCTCATTTCCCTGTCCTCCAGGAGAAGGGAGACAGAATTGATGGAACAGTATTAAAGAATATTAATATTATAGTCATTACTCTTTTGGGCTGAATATCACAACATTAGCAATGATTTTTTCTTTTTAAAGAAAATTGCTGCAGATTTAATTTATGATACTTGATATTTGGATGTAATGTTTTGCTGTAAGTTAAATAGAGAGTTCCAGTTAAAAGGGATTTTTAGTGACCCAGAGAAAATATTTTTATTGTTTGCATGTTTCAAAAGTGTTTCTTTCTAATTCAAACATGAGCAAAACTACTGAGTGTCCAAACAGAGCTCTATAAACAAAAAAACATGACTGAAGTTATGCTTCAGCATAGTTGTGAGAGCACAAGTACGTATAATCCATAAGGAAGTATGCTAAAAGTTGATTATTTGGTATATGCATAAGAATTTTGTTGTTGATATGCAAGTAGTAATTAACATTTACAGTATATCCATAATAATACTTTAGTACATTTAAGGTCATTCAAACACTGGAGTCTAAAATAATACCTATGAAAAAAAATGCTTTTGAATTCTGTTGGATTTGACTTTTTCACATCATGTGGTTTCTGTCATTTCTTCCTTTAGATATTTATAAAAAGAGAGACTTAAAACTGTTACCACTAGATTGAATGATTTGCAGTGAAATCAGGTGCAGAGCTTGGCATTCCACTTCATGTTGGATGCCTGCTTCATCTTGAATTTGAAACTTATTGCTTTTTATTATGGAGTTTTTATTTTTTAATTGGATACATTTAGTTATTGCGAAGGCAAGACTAGTTGTAATGGTTTGGGCCAAATATAGTGCAGTCAGATGGTCTGCAGGTTTACGTAAAGAGCTTTGACAACCTCTTAATCTTAATAAGTAGCAGACCATCTATTCTAGTCACAGTTGCTTAAAAAGCATATAATGCATGTCACACTAAATTACATGTTAGCTGTTTGTTTAGTATGGACATAATTACACCATAAACTGAATTGCAGTTGAAACTGAAAAATGGACCTGTAGCAATATTTTCAAAGTTTATAGGTCTTTATGCTAAACCACATTTTAGATTTTCCCAGGCAACTTATAGTTATCTTACTGTCCATTAACACTCCTTTCTGGATGAGGTAAGGAAAACAAGCCTCAGGTGCCAGAGATTTACATTCTGATTTGACAGTATTTTTAAGTCTATCTGTAGTTTTAAGCAGGCATCCAGGATGTGCTACAGTATTAAGGTCAGTTATTAGTTTGCTTGCCTGGAAATTCCCTTCATTCTCTAGGAAGTGGAGTTTTGATATCTGTCTTGTACTTGAAATTCTTCAGTCCTTGCACTTTCAAAACTTCCATTGACTGGTACCAGTATTGATTGCTTCTGAAGTGTAACAATCTCTCTTGCTTGTCTGATGTCTTTAATCTTTTTATCCATCTCCATGACTAACCGATATTTATATTATCATGGAGGCAACATATCCACATCCATACTCATTTGTCTGCAAACTTTCAGAGTGTGCTTGTAAGACAAATTGGTATAGAAACAGCTAAACATTTGCCATGATGGAAGAGGAAAGCATTCCAGCACATCCTAAATACAAAGACATGTATGATGGAGTTACCTGTAACCTGTTTAATGCATTTTCTGTCTACTGGCAGGTCCCATAAGCAGCATTTTGGTGAATAAGTATGGTAGCCGGCCTGTGATGATAGCAGGTGGCATCCTGTGTTCATTTGGAATGATTGCTTCCTCTTTCTGCAATAGCGTCCTGGAACTTTATCTCTGTATTGGTGTTGTTGGAGGTAAGAGTCCTGTTTAAAAGGTATTGTTATGTTACATGTTATTATTTCTAATACTGTTTTACCAATGAGCCTTACTGATCAAGAACCTGCTATGCAAGAGCCTATTGTACAGCTGCAAACCAAGAAGGTAGCAAGATCAGTTAATTTCACCTACATGAACTGTCTAATCCTTTAAATTAGCTGGTATGATGTTAAATTATTTCTTAGGATATTTCAGGAACAACTGATGATTTTATTCAATAAATGCTGTATGTATGTACCTTTCCACACTGCACTGTAATTATTGTATAAAAATTGATTGGCTCATGACAGCACCTATTACAGTCATTTGTGTAGAATTTCACATTCATTCTTGTAGCTTTCAATCATGGTGCATTTCAAACAGGGTGGCAGAAGCTAGCAGAATTCTAGTAGAAATGCAAAAGCTAGTACCAGCTTTCTGTAGGTTTGTGTATATACTCTTACAGAAAAGTATAACAACTTTCAATTCAATATCTTTCTGTTTAAAATCCCGCATGGTCAACCCCCAAGTAAAATTACTTATAATCTCCATCAAAAGCCTGGATATTGCCTGAGGCAATGAGTGAAAGTGATCATAAAGCCAGTAAATTAAATAACCTCCTTGTCAAAAGTTGTGTTATTTTGGTTTTGTTTGGTTGGGTTTTTTTAAACTACCTCCTCAGAATAAGGAGGGCAAGCGAGGTAAAATTGGCAGGTAATAAATGAATAGTACTTCATCCTATATTCAAGATAAGCTTTCTTTATGTTGAAACTAAAGGGGTCCTTTGTTCAGTGATTACTTCTTACAGGTTTTTTTTTTTTTTTTAATATCATAAACCTGGGGCCCACTGAAAGGATAAAGTCAGGATGCACAAATGGGCCTATCTGAGAAAAAATTTCTGTGCCACCCAAGAGATGCATAGCTACTTAGACCTTATTGCCTAGTACAGAGAGAAGGCCTAGAGGTTATATGCTAAGTTGATGTGGATAGGTGTTTTTCTCTCATGGCTGTCCTCTACCCTCTTCCACCTGTAGGAGTGACTTCAGTGTCTGGGAAAGTGGAGCCGTATTTGCCTCAGAATATTAGACATTTTAAGCTCCAATTTTGGATAAAAGTTTTATTATAAACAGGGCTGGAAATAAGAAATAAGATTTATGCATTTAAATGCACCCTGCATTCATTGTAGCTGAGATGACATTTAATAACTTTTGTGAAATGAGCTAAGAGAGAAATGCATTATAGCTTAGTAAATATAAATGGTGAGTCAAGGTCCTGATACCACCATTACTCTGTGATTCCCCTGTTTCTGTCACTGCTGAAACATAACAAGGAGTTTTGGCTTTTATTGCAATGCTACAAGGGGAAATGGCAGAATGTCATTATGACACAGTCTTGGATTTAACACACATAGACAGCAATGAAAGTGATTTTTTTCTCTGATGCTGGTTGGTTTCTATCTTCATTGGGAATCACTGGATTAGATCCTAGTCATTTTAAACATAACTTGAAAGAGGTGTATTCTGTTTTTCACTGCATGACCTGCAATAATACTGTCTTTTATGTGTTGTACAGGTCTGGGTTTAGCATTCAACTTACAGCCTGCCTTGACCATGATTGGCAAGTACTTCTATAAGAAGCGTCCCATTGCTAATGGATTGGCCATGGCTGGAAGTCCAGTGTTTCTGAGCACTTTGGCACCTCTCAATCAATTCCTCTTTAATGCATTTGGCTGGAAAGGAAGCTTTCTCATTCTGGGAGGACTTCTTTTGAACTGCTGTGTGGCGGGGTCACTTATGAGACCTGTCGGACCGAAAACAGTCCGTCCTGTGAAAAAAGATGTTGAAAAAGGCACAGGAGAATCTACCTTGCATAAAAACAACAAGAAGTCTTTTTGGCAAACTATGAATAAGTATCTAGATCTGTCCCTCTTCAAACACAGAGGGTTTCTGATCTACTTGTCAGGAAATGTCATTATGTTTATTGGCTTCTTTGCTCCAATAGTATTCTTGGCTCCTTATGCAAAGCACAAGGGAATTGATGAATATTCTGCTGCTTTTTTGCTATCTATCTTAGCCTTTGTAGATATGTTTGCTAGGCCTTCAATGGGACTAGTAGCAAACTCCAAGTTTATCCGGCCAAAGATTCAGTACTTTTTTAGTTTTGCTGTCTTGTACAATGGCATCTGTCATGTCTTGTGCCCTCTGGCAACAAATTATACGGGCTTGGTGATATATGCTGTATTTTTTGGGTTTGCATTTGGAATGGTTAGCAGCGTTCTTTTCGAGACGTTGATGGACCTCGTTGGGGCTGCCAGATTTTCCAGTGCAGTTGGACTTGTCACCATAGTGGAATGTTGCCCTGTGCTCATAGGCCCTCCTTTAGGAGGTAAGAATCTTTTTTATTTCAGTTTTTCAGACATTACAGCATAATCTTGCAATTTAGCATTGAATTAATATAAACATTGTTCTTCATATTATTTAATGTTTTCACTGCGACTAGGAATGTACTCTTGCAGCAGCACACTGCGTCAGTTATTTCTGGGCTTTACAGATGAAGATCCACTTGAGAATCTAAAGGGATGCATTGCGTGCATGTGCCATAGGTAGATTAAGAGAATATCTCTACTGGCCTATAAATCCAGGTGATAAGCCTATGTTTTCATGAGAGCACAATAGTGCTAACTTTGCAGTCTTGATTTACGTGTATTCATTTCCACTTTGCTCTTTGCCAACAGAGTTCTTACTCTCTTGAATTAGCCAACAGAGAGTTTGTACGTCAGGATCAAAGGGAGAATGGTGATGAGGGATATTACTATGGGGATCTGTTACAGACTGCCTGATCAAGAGGACTCTGTGGATGAAGCACTGTACAGACAGATAGGAGCAGCCTCACACTTGCAGGCCCTTGTCCTGATGAGGGACTTCAACCTTCCTGATATCTGTTGGAGGGACGGGACAGCCCAGCACAAGCAATCCAGGAGGTTCCTCAATTGTGTGGAAGACAACTTCCTCTTGCAAGTAACAGAGGAACCAACAAGGAGAGGTGCCATGCTTGACCTCGTGCTCACCAACAGGGAGGGACTGGTTGGGAATGTGATGCTCCAGGGCAGCCTCAGCTGTAGCGACCATGAGATGGTCGAGTTTGAGATCCTCAGGACAGTGAGAAAGGCATGCAGCAAGCTCACTGCCCTGGACTTCAAGAGAGCAGACTTTGGCCTCTTCAGGAACCTGCTTAGTAAGGTTCCATGGGATACAGTCCAAGACTGCTGGTTGATATTCAAGGATCACCTGCTACATGCTGAGGAGTGTTGCGTCCCAACTAGAAGGAAGTGTGGCAGGAGGGCCAGGAGACCTCCATGGATGGATAAGGAACTGCCAAGGAAACTTAGAGGGAAAAAAGAAGCATATGGAAGGTGGAAGCGAGGACAGGCAACCTGGGAAGATTACAGGAACATTGTCCGGGAAGCCAGGGACCAGGTCAGGAAAGCTAAGGCCCAGCTAGAATTAAACGTGGCAAGGGATGTGAAAGAGAACAGGAAAGGCTTCTATAGGTACGTAGCAAATAAAAGAAAGACTAGGGACAACGTGGGCCCTCTCCAGAAGCTATCAGGAGAACTGGCTACCCTGGATTTGGAGGAGGCTGAGGTTCTTAATGACTTCTTTACCTCTGTCTTCACTAGCAAATGCTCAGACCACACCACCCAAGTCTTGGAAGGCAAATGCAGGGACTGTGAGAATGAAGACCTTAGGCCCACTGTAGGAGAGGATTGGGTTCAAGACCATCTTAAGCACCTGATAGTGCACAAGTCCATTGGACCTGATGAAATC